CATCCCCGTGAACACTGGGACGTAACTCAATGGTAAAGTAAATGATTCCTATTTCTTATTTCAAACGTTGCGTATATTAGCCGCAACATATGAATCAAGATGCTATGACCGAAAAAATGTGATTGACAGATGACCGTTGATATATTATTGGCCAAATTTAGGTGTTCAGGCTGACGTAGAACTAACTGGCCTGAATAAGATGGCGAAAAAAACAAACAAACTGATTTTAAGACAGGAAGTTGTTTTTTTTTAATAGAAATTTTCTAACTTTTGGGACAATATGGTCTGATAAGGAGTATATTTATATACATGTTTAGGCCAGATTGATTTGACATTTAAATATGACTTTCCTACAACTTTTAGTGTTGTTTGCATTTGACTAGCATCAATCAAGGTTTTTTAAACAAACTATGTCAAGATTGTTTTATTTCTCATTAAGGTCGGCTAAATGCCTCACCAACTGTTCTCCAGCTGGTAGCCATATTTGTTTCTCTATCACTTCATACTTCATGCGGGAAACAAGGCAGTCACAAATAACATGTTTTTGTTTGTTTTTTTTTATAAATGTGTTTAAATAAATTAAATAAAACAAAAAAGACCTTTTAAGTGTCCCTATTACAAGCTATCGATAAAGTGAGTACAACAATTTTGCAAGAAAAAACATTCAGAACCAACCGGTTTGCATAATATTCCATACTGTATGACTGATGACTACAGATAATATAGGTATTATAGGTAAAAACAAAGAATATAGAATAAGAACGTTGTGTATTATTTACACAAAACGCATGACATTCAAATGAATTTCAATATGAATTTGTTCCCAACAACCTTCAATTGCTGCTTAATTTAGGGGATTTAAACTTGGTCATGCATATGGATTTTTTTTTCAGTCTGGTTTACTATGCACAATACATCCTCAAATTGCCAGCACAGCAGACTGGCTAATCTTATTTCCTATGCTTGATCCTCCCCCTCAGCGACTCAGCCTTGAATGCAAATTTTACTGTTATTGTTTCAGGCTTTGCAAATCGTTCATCTGAAAAATAATGTTTACACCGGGAGCAATAGGAGCTATTGGGTTGTGCAAAAGGGACATAAAACAAAACAACATAAACACCCCAAAGAAAGAGTAGGCAAAAACTTTTAAAGGCAAAATCGAATATGATTAAATCATTGTAAATGTTGCAAAGTACAGTCGAAGCAAGGTAAAGCAGAGCATACAAAGTGGGAATGTAATTCTACAACAGAAGGTTACAATATTTGAATTAATGAATTAGTCATGGGATTCAACATTATGTCAACATCAAACTCTACACTTTTAGTACTCTCACAGTTTTTGAGACTTAAAGTAGATAAAAAAGTTCAGTCAAATACATTTCTGCAGATAATTCATGAAAATATGGAACTTGCAGAAACTGGAGGGAAGAAGGAAATCATTAGGTTGAGATTGCATTTTGCTTCTTTAAAGGACACAGGAAACATGTTTTTGTCGTACTCCTTGGTGCAAGGGGCAAAACGATAGGAGGCAAAGACATGAAGTGAGAATTTCACAGTTTTTTAAATTTTTGTGAGAGTTAATATTTAGTTTATGTAATTTGGTTAATGTATCACTTAGGGATGCTCAGTGGAGCCGTGGGTAGCACTGCTGCCTTGCAGCAAGATGATTCCTTTTTACATGGAGTTTGCATATTCTCCTTGTGCATGCGTGGGTTTTCTCCGGGTACTCCGCCTTCCTTCCACAGCCCAAAAACATGACTGTAAGGTTAATTGGCTTCTCTAAATTCTCATTAGATGTGAGTGTGTGCTTGAATGGTTGTTTATCCTGTGTGTCTCTCTGTTGCCCTGCAATAGACTGGCGACCTGCAGGGTGCACCCCGCCTCTCGCCCATAGACAGCTGGACAAAGTCACCAGCACCCCTCATGACCCCACTTGGAGTAAGCATAAGAGAAAATGGATGGACGTAAGGATGTATCACTTAACTTTAAGCAATAGAAATGATGAAAACATCTCTGCAACTTATAGTTTTAGATTTACAGATTTAGATTTTAATTAAAAAAAAAACACATTCACTAGCTCATCCCTCACCTAGGGCAATAGTTTAAGGTTTCGTTTATACTTAGCAACATTTTTTTTGTCTGTGGGTGTGTGTGCCCGCATCTTCTAAAGAGCTGAGCCAGATTTAGGTTAGTGTGTTTATGTCATGCACATTTCAGTGATTGGCAATGAGGTTCATCGCCTGCAGTCATCTTCGACAACCTGTCACAAAACATTGTTCCCAAACAAGAGAAGCTCAAAAACTGCGTCAGCTGGTCGGGTCGAGCTGGAGCTTTCCTGATGAAGAATGACAACTCTAGTTCATGCCTCTGAGAGAAAATGAAAAATAATATATTGCAAGCTTAGCATGAAAAAAACTAGACAAGACTTCAATTTAATGTAGATAAAGATAAATCATTAACACTTAACTCTAACACCTAAGAAATGTTTTATTTTTACAATAAGGCTAGCAGGTTATTTACAGGTGAGCCTAGAAAATTCCACCAACAGTTTATGCACATATAAACTTTAATGTATATGAATTTATTTAACATTAATTGGTTAAACCAGAGGTTTCCAAAGTTGGGGAACTTGTCCCCTGGAGGAGGTCAGTGTAATTATAGGGGGAGCATGATAGAATTAACTGAATTAATTACTTTTTTTTATTATTTATTGATGGTAATGTAAAATTTTATTACACAGTAATATAACCTCTACATTTAAAAAATAATTACACTTTTTTCCCTTTTTTTGTTGTTTTATTTTGTTGCAAGTTTTAATAATTTAAAAACCTAGAAACAAACAAAAAAATCTGAGATTACAGTTATTTAGTTAGAGCATTCGGACATTGATTCATTTTTATCTAAGCTCTATCACTCTCTCCATTTGTCGCATATTGTAATTATATTAAGCATATTAAAAAGGTTAATTTCTCCATCTAAGAAAATGTATGATTGCTGTGTATTGAAACTCATTATGGCCTTCCATACTGCAGTTAATAGTTTTAAAAGAGGTACTGATCCTCCCCAGTTCTTTTGCAATATGTTCCAGAAAAATCAGTGCACTCTTTAGGGAAACTACATCAACGGACCTTTTACTGTTGCAACATTGACAGAGGACCAGAAAGACTGAATTTCAGAACAAGCATAGAGGATGTATGATGCGCCTCAAAACTAAGACATTCCCTGAAACAAGTTGTCTGCAAAAAATGATTTGCCAACTTCCAATTTAATTCTTTCTAGTGCATTCAGTTTGTAGAGTTCTGTAGTAAAAAAGAAAAAACTTTAGTAACAACACTTGGTAAGTTCTAGTTTTTACTTAGCTTTCACATAAAGTTATGTATGCCTTAGATTATCGATAAGGCTATTATAAAAATGGAAATCATTTTGTGTTCTTTTAATAATAAGCTCTACAAATTAAAAAAAATAATCATAGTTATTCCAAAGCTAATGGGTCGTTCAGCCTGATCAATGTTTAATGCATTCCTGAGTTATTATTCTTTTTTTGTTTGTTTGTTTTTTTTTTTTACCATAAACTGAATGAAACTTCACTGTTTTGACTGCAGTTAACATCTCTGTGTCAGGGTTTATTCACATTTCATCTGCTGCTATAAAAGGACACCTTTAAATGCATTAAGCCTTAAACTTCGAACATCACTCGGACTTTGAACAAACCCTTAAACCCCTCTTCCTCTTTTATTTCTTTAATTTTGTTTATTTTTAGTAGTGTTTAATTTGTAGCTAATAAAGGTAGCACTGTATTTTAACCCGTGGTCTTTTGTATTTATTTTACACAGTGAACGATTTATCACTCATCCTGGAAGCCGGATTTAGGAGTCTAACCTTTTCGGTAAGAGGCTAAAACTCTGGTCAGTAAGCAATTTACAGTTATAATCCTTCAACTGATAATAAATAACTAGTTTTACCCTTGATTTGAATGACATATTAATTAACTATACCTCCCAGTTCTAGCTATTTAATATTTTCATATTCATAATCTACGCCTACGGCGTATGCCCTGTTTGCTGCTCCGCAACAGTCGCTGCAGGTGCCGCTTCGATCTTCTGTGGCAGGGGTCTCAACGTTTTCCAGGCCAAGGACCCCCAAACTGATGGGGAGATGGAGCGGGGACCCCCTGATTATATACATTGTTTGAAATTGTGTTATATCAAACTGCTCCTATAGTCACTCCTTTACAGATGGAGTAATTTAACAACAGTAATTTTGCCCTGGGATTATGAAATTATTTCTGATTCTGATTCCTGGTTGATGGGACAGGTGTTGTGAATGAAACGGTGCC